CGTGATGGTTTATAGCTTATAGTACTTTTTACTGTACGTGTCAATTTCCGTGTATAGACATTGGAAAGAGGTCAAGGATTGGAATTAAACTTGGTGTAATTTTTGTTTGATATGTCTTCATTGTTTATACTCCTACTACCATTCAATCTTCCCTGTCAAACGCGTGACTAACATGTTATTTCAATAATTTGCAGAAAGGAGAATTGCTCAATCCCTTCACTCCGCTTAGATATCGTAGGAAAAAGGTTGTACAGCTAACTGAGGCTAGTTTGAGCTACCTCGCTTCCTTCTATTTCTGCTGGGCATTGTGCTCTGGCCAATACTATGAGGAAGGCATTAGTGGATTTCAAATAAACTTGTTTGCCTGTACTTAAAAACTGTACATTTTTAGTTCAAGTTTATACATAGATTCTAGTAAGCTGAGGCTCGGAGGTTAAATGTTCCTGATGCCCGTGCAGATTTAAGATGACAATACAAGTTCCAAGGGTGTAAAATGACAAAAGGAAGGTAGTTTACATTGCGACGTGACTGTACAAATTATGGCGTATGGAGAGTTGGTTGTATCGGTGAGGCCAAGACATAATGAGTACTGTATCTGAAAGATTTCTTATATGGCCAAGTACTTATTGGGTTCTTTAGATTGTCCTTTCTTGCTCGTGATTTCATTTTCTTAACCAGGAATTTCATTATGTATGGAATTAGTGACCATTTCAAGGCCGAACAAAGATGAATATGAAAAAGAAGACTTTGAGATGGATAAAAGATGGTTTATAACTTGGAAAATGTCTCATGCACAGGGTCTGTGCATCAGACCCTTTACATGACATCTCACATGGGGTGGACCTCACATGTGGATCCCATGTGTGGCGTCCACCCCATGTGTGTACTTGTGCAGGATCTGAGCAACAAACCCTGTGGAGGTAGCATAATTGTTATAACTTTATTGAATATTGACAGTGGGCAATGAGCATTTAGTACACATTGATTCTTAGAGGAAATTATATAAAATCAGGTATTAAAACTTTCAAATTCAATATTAGGGGATGAAGTTTACTTTTGCAACAATCTGGTATTATATATAATTAACCCATCCAATTCAATTAAAATCCTAATCATTTTTCCCAAATTCTTCCCTTATAATATCCCGTCTCTTTCTCTACCTTATCCTCTGACTATCATCGCTGTTAAGGAGCGATCGCAACCGGAGACACCTCCGACTCCCAGTGCTGACACGAGATCATCAGAATTGAGGCCATTTTTAAACTGTAATAATCTATTTTCGCTTTAACTCTCCATCTTCTCTTCATCTTTCCGTCCATATTCTCTTGGCGATGCAGATCTACCAACTCCAGCGAGCTGTGGTGCTGAAATGAATAGGCTATGGTGGTGGTTGAATTTGGTGGTAGTGGTGTGATTTTTTGGCATGTTTTGTTGCGTTTTTGAGGTGGTGACGACGAGTTTGTGGGTTTTTTGGTGAGGTGGTAGTTAGGTGTGGTGTAAATGGAGATAAAGGAAATGGTGGTGGTGGTGTGCTGTGGGTGGTGCGTTGTGCGATGGTGGTGGCGGTGATTGTTGCGGCGGCGATGATGGCAATGGGTGGAGTATCTACGACCAATAATTAGGCGTCCGTGACCAACTATTTAGGCGTCTATGACCAACTATTTAGCTAATTTGTGACTAAATATTAGGTGTCTGACAAAAAAATAATTTGTGACCAATAACTTGTAACTCATGTGACCCATAGATAAAATATGACATGTAATTTAAATGATATGTGACCTCGAAATAATATGTGACCTACAAAATTTTTGATTTATGACCACAAAATAATCTGTGAAAAATTAATTTGAAAATATGTGACCAGTAAATAAATCTGTGACTATTAATCATGAAATTGTGACTTTATTATCTTTATTTAATAAATATTTTTAATTAATTAAGTGCATACATGATTTTTGAATTTTCAAACTATTTACTTGATTTTTGAATTGGGGTAAACATAAACCCTGAGATGTGATTTTTTCCCTTGATTCTTATTTATAAGATTAACAACTCTACTATTTTATTGATGGTGTTTATTCAAAAAATAGATAATAATTATCAAATTACAACTAATAACTTTGCATTTCTATAGGACTATGTTTCATGTCATCTCGTTTCCTTTGGTTTGAATTTGTTGATCTCAAGTCTTCTTGATTGCTCAAATTGTCGCAATTGATTTTGAATTTGTGTGGATTTATAACCTTATTTCTCCAAGATTTTATAGTCTTCTTATCACTCATTTGATACTCATCATTTTTGGTATCAAGTCGTGTGATGTCCTAACAAAACCATGTCCAGTTTTGGTTGATGGATGTATAATTCAACGATTGTCCTCAGAATAATCGGGCTTTTAAATAGAATTTAATGGAAACTTCGGTATTTATTTATTTATTATTATTATTATTATTTTATTTTTTTTAGGTGGGGTGGGAGAGTTTTTTGAAAGCTATCAAGGTCAACCTCTATTGGGGGCTTTTCTAAGTTTTAACTAAACAAAAGAAGTTTTTTCATACAGAATTGAACATAGCTTCTTAGTTTTAAAGGGTAGGTTCTGATTTTGTCAAAAAATAAGTCTTTATAGGCCCATGTGATTTTAAAGAAATTTATTTTTTGTTTATTTAATTTTTGGAAATCCGGGAATTGATATGCAGTTTGCATCTGTAAATAATGATGCCTTTAATTTGGTCAGTTCGTTAAATGGTGATTATGTAAAGTATAAATCAATAATGGTGATTCCATTTTAGTTGCACAAATGGCTGGTTAATTGATACGCCTCTATAGTCTGCAATTTATCTAAAGCTTTTATTAGTATTTAAAATTCATTCCACTCCTCTCTCCTTAGATATAAATGTTTGGGCTGACGACTTGTATAAGCCGATCAATGGTCAAAATTCCCCACAACTAAAACTCGCGAGCTGAGTCGATCCTTGGCACCATTTTTGGTTAGCAGTATTGGACAATATAATAGACATGGTCTTCGCTTACCATGAACGTCTAATGGTACTCATCGTGCGCTCTTGAAACATAGGATGGGAATTTATTTACATGTAGATTGAGCTGTTATAATAGATGGAAAATAGTAATAAATATACGATGGCAGAGAAATTATTCTGAAATAGTAGAGTTCCTACTTCCTACTCCGTTGTGTTCCTTGGAAAAAAGGAAGAAAGAAAGAGCCTAAAGGAGTTTGGAAAAAAAAAAAAAAAAAAAAAAGATATTGTTCGTGAAGGCGGTCAGGTCGAGGGAGCCAAAATCAGAAAGGTAATTAAACTATTCAAGATTGGAGCTTGAGATAGTGTAGTTAGCCAAGTATTTAGTTGCTTCAGATCTTCGAGTAAATCTAACAATAAAGTGAATGGAGTGACGAGAAACAATCATACAGCTGACGCCAAATTTACATGGAAAAAGGCACAGTTTCTAGAAGCTAGAGGGAGAATAATCGAATGAATGAACTATCTTCTCTAGGAATGTGATTTTTGTTTTGGTCCTTGTGAGGATATGGTTCACCTAACCCCACCACCTAATGTTGTGAGTTGATGGGAGTGAGGTTGACACAATAAGGTCCTCCCACGTTTTGGTAGAGGCATGGTCTTCCTTCCTTCTCCTTCATATGGACTCTCTACCATTTTATATAAAAGAGGGGGCAGCTCTCGTTTTGGAGAAGACCCAGCAGAAAAAAAAAAAAAAGGAGCTCTCGGTTTTTTCATAGGTTCTTCATTGGTTTTTCCCCTCTCTCTTTGGAAGTCAATTGGCATAGCATGGGGCTGTTCCTGAGCCTGGAAAAACACCCATAAATCGAAGAAGAAGCTGCCCAAAGGAGGAAGGAAAGCTGGACAGATTTCGGCAAAAAAAGGGTTGTATTTTTTCATTCCCGTTTTTCTTTGTTTTTGCCTTGAATCTTGTTTGTTGATTGTTGTTTTGGTTGTTTAAACTCCTAGGATCCCCAAAAAACTGGTATCAGAGCTAGGAGGAGTGATATTAGTCCAAAATCGATCAAAAATCAGCAAGGAATCGCCATTACCATTTTTAACCGAATCTGAAAAAACTTGATTTCCGGCCAACCTATTGACTTTCCGGCGAAATGGACCATGGAACCATGACCAGCAGGAGGAGGCGCACCCTGTGGTGGGGCGCGTGACCGGCCGCCGCGACTCCGGTGGCGGCGCGTGGCCGGACCTCCTTCTATTGGAGGGTGTGCTGGTGCCACAGAGAGGGCGCCACTTGGGCATTGTGGACACTATTATGGTGTCCATTATATCCAAGTAGAATAATCCTACAATTTTATCAAAAGAAGTCGAAGGAAAAAAAACTCAATCCGCTTCCCTAAAGATCTCTAATGACAGGCCCCTGCCAAAAGTTGAATTGATATACAATTTTTTCAAAAATATTGGAGGGGAGAAACACTTCAAAGATGGACCCTTATAAAAAATATTGGAAGGGAGAAACACTTCAAAGATGGACCGTGCACCCACACAATATCGAGGAATTCTTGATTGGTATCAAGCTAGAACCACATATTCTTCCTGAATATCATTATTCAACACCAAAGAATTTCTAGTGCTGGAATAGCATCGAAACTGAACAACTCTTACGAAATTACCATGTGTAACAAGTAGGAGAAATCTCTCTATTTTTTTCCGAGGAATATTAATGTCCTTACTATAGTGTACTATGAGAAAGAACGAGTTGGGGAGATCTTAAGTACTCTACCGAAAGCAGGACTACTTAAGATTAGAACGTTGCAGCTACTGAAGAAGACTATCATTCCGCTACTCTAATAGAAGATAACCTCATTGAAATCTATTGATTTATAAAATTGACTCAGAAGCTTAACCTTTAGAAGCTACTGATGAGAACATAGATTTGAACCAAATATAATTATCTTTTTTCCCATCTTTTCGACTTTTTATTTCATTTTCTCGACTGGAACAGCTGATAAGACCAGGTACAAAGACATATAGTTCCATAACACAGAGTTGCAATCATTCCACAAACAATTAAGAAAGTTTCATTTCATGGTACTGCAAAAGAAATGAAGCTAAAAACTAACTAATAAAGCTTCAATTGCAAATTCATGTTTGCTAAAAGGCAACGAAATTAATGATCAGTGTACCCTATTATAATGATATTTGATTCTTGAGAATTGCAAAAGGCTGTAGCAAGCTTACATCAAAATGAGTATTTGTTTACTCTGCATCATCGTCATCATCAAATTCTTCAATCTTTTGCCCAAAACCTCGGGGCCCAGCTTTAGATCTAGCTCCAATTTTACTCTTTTTACCAGTCCTCTTCTTCCTAGCAGCCTCTTCTTTCTCAAATTTATCTCTCTCCCTTTTCTGCAAGAAATCTGTCACGGCTATGTAGATTACCTGAGAAGTCCAAAGCATTCAGAATTAATAACAAACTTCTTGTCCAAATATCAAATTCAGCTTAAAATGTTAATATCAGAGTGAAATTTACCCCAACTGTAAGAATGGCTAAACCGACGAAAGCAAAGAAAAGAAGAGCTGATATAACTGTAGAAACACCATCATCGGTTGTGGAGACTACTTCCTGCAAATTCTCCTCTGTTGTGACTTCTGACAGCAAATAATTTCCATTTACAGCAGAAAATCTCCAATTTCTTATGGGTTTTAGAGAAGCAGCACTAGATGAATTTCCAGAATTCAAAGTTCGTGTTGATATCTGAGTGGATGGAAATCCAAAAATTGGGTTGTTTGATCGAGAGAATGAATGGTGGGCATTGATAAAATTACTCGGTTTACGCTTGGGAATCAAAGTGAGAGCTGGAGGAGATGATAAAAGGGCAGATGATGCAGCCATTTTCGTCAGCTAATTTATTGCTGCTACCACATCGATCCTCCTCCAAAGTATAGCTGTGGGTCTAAAAATTGTACAAACTCAATTGAAGTGTGGGTATGGGATAATGCCACAGTGTTATCTTCTCACTTCTAAAGAACAGATAGGTAGAACGTTTTGATAACAATCTCAATTTAAGTGGAATAACGAGTTGTGGAGATGAGCGCAAATCAAATATTCAAATGGTTCATACGAGTGGACTTATGAGCCGAACAAACTAGCTCGTGCACACGGACCAACTCGCGAACCACCACTACGCGAGCCTAGCCCTACATTTTGATACATTTGAAAATTCAAATTCAAAATTTTTTCCATGCATTGCAACATTATTTTTGCTATAAGAAGACAGTATCATTTTCAATTTTCACACATCTTTTGCACTCATCATATCGAGTTGAGATCTGTTGTTAAAATTGATTGTCCAATTTGCGGTCTATCCAATGATTCATTAACAAATCATTTTAAATTAGCATGTCTAACTTTAAAATGATGTATTAACAAATCATTGGGTACACAGCAAATTGGATAGTCAATGTTAGACATCAGATCTCTACTCTATTGTATTGAACTTTTTCTAGTTTCATAATTTTTTTACTATTACACCACTTAGAGAGAGAGACAGAAAAAAGAAGAAGGAAAAACAGACACTTTCACTATCAAATCTCTACTTTTATATTTTATGTTGCATTGTAATATCACATAATTTAGGTAATGACTAACTCTGTTGGGAATCTACTTATACATGCACAAGGGAATTTAAAATAATTTTCGATTCCCAACAAGAATCGCCTTTGTGTTTAGATAGAAATTGTGATAAGATTGTACCTTTTCCAGATCTGCAATCTTTTTGCTTTTCTTTTCGTTCCATCAACCTTG